CGTTTCTTGCTGTGGTGGTGGGTATTTTGGTTTCATTATCTGACGCCTTATGGTTGTCTCCACTCTGTGTGTGACTCCAAGTCCAAGTGGTGCGAGGAGGCGGCCGACGGCCTCTGAGGCCGGATCGCTCGCCAAATTTGTGGTCGGTGCGATTTTGTTGCGCAAGCACCCGTGGACGAAGTTGCACAGGTAGCCATTTTCTCTTAACGCCCGTCGAAGATATTGTATTTCGGCAACTGCGCATTCTGGTTCACTGCACTGCGTCTCAATACGTCGATAAAGTGTCCTTAGGCTTACGCGTCCTACCGGAGGATGATGTAGACGCAGAGACGGACAAAATCAATCAGTCTGCCTACGCGTGCCAAGACATTCAATTTGCCAGAATTTTAATACATCATAGAGGCGGCAGTCTCAATGCCAGCTTACACGGCTCGGGGCATACGTGCCACACAACCTGGCCACAGCCTGCACTTGGCCAGGAATTTGCACAACGGCAACAAAAGCAACAACAATCTGGCTCCTTTTTCGCGGAGAGGCAGTGTCACAAAGGCCACGCTTAGAAGAAGCGATCACAGCATGAATCTCAGCCCGCTCGCCAGCCAGCCAGCCAGTCCACCACTCAGCAACTCGGTCTGGGTATAAGTATCAGTCGGCAGAACACAGTTGGTGTGTCACATAAGACCTAGATCATTTGCTACAAGTAATCGATCAGGGGAAGTAGGATCACGTGTGAGAATGCCACACAGGCCACCGCAATGAAGCACTGCAGCCTGATTTAGACCGAGTGATCCCCCGTCAGCTAGAAACCTGGCATGCCATGACTTTTGGCGCGCCGTTGTTGGTTAAAATGGCTATTTAAGTTACAGTGAGGAATGCGTTGATGTGATAGGAACATGGATACCTCCTTGGACAAAGTACTTAAGTATACAGTGCAGCCTGGGGTGGCAAGCAGTCCCATCTACAACCGGCAGGATTCAAAATTCTTCAGCAGTTTATAGTGTACAAGGCCGGAAAATTTAAAGAAGGCGTAAGTTGCTATCAAAACCATTACATCAATACTTAAGTGCATGTTTTCTAAAAAATGTATAAACTTGAATTTATACGCGCATCAAAAATAGAGCAGAATAATGCATAATACATAAGTAGCTATTTTTAGAGTGACCGGGACTGCAACTACATCGGGGAATCTGGGCGACAATATATTTGAATTTATGGCCGCATCAAAAATAGACCAAAATAATGCATGATACTTAAGTAGCTGTTTTTAAAGTGTGGTTCCCCCTGTGGGCAGCTTAAAAAGAAGTTCGTACCCTGACTGAACTGAGCTACCCTGCAATAAAGCTACACCATAGTAATTATAGAACAACCATACTTGATTACGTTTTTTATATCAAAAAAATCAAATAATTTAGGAGGTTTAGCAGATTTGCTTAATTTAGTTGACCCAATTGTGAAAAAAAAACTCGCGGCGTTCGGTGGTATTTTAACCCCCGCATAGCAGGGAAGGCCTTTATGTAGCTAACGCTTTACCATTTTAGCTACAAACGCCACACCTTGCGCCGTGAATTTAAACACACTTGGATCGAGTTTACCCGACCAACTTTACCGCTTGTGTGGCAAGCTGACGGCTCAAGCAGGATTTCCTAACCAATCATCTAGAATCCACCGTAATGACTATTATGCTGACTTAATTATTTAGTAGGTTTGGCAGATTTCGAAGAGCAATTGGCGAGCATACGTATACTTTCAATAAATTATCATCAGGCCATTACATTTATTTGGGAGGGGGATAAAGTGTAAAATTATACGTAAATTATGTTCAACGTTACAAGCAAGTTAGTCCAGGGGATAAGGGAGGGGTTTGGAGTAGTAACAAGCGGCTAATTAAGCGGCAATTAGGGAGAGGAGGGAAGGGAGAGAGGAGGAGGCTCGGAAAAAAATGCCGGTAGCTAGGTGGCCGTTGGTCATGCTAAGCTTGGGGCCTGC